GCCTTGCGGTCGGAGGCCGAGCAGTTGCCATACCAGGCAGTGATGCAACCAGTCAGGATGCTTTCGATTGTGCAGCTGTGGAACCTTTTGAGGATCTGAGGACCCATGCCAAATCTTTTCAGTCTCCTTAGGGGGAATAGGTTTTGTTGTGCCCTCTTCACGACTGTCTTGGTGTGCTTGGACCATGTTAGTTTGTTGATGATGTGGACACCAAGGAACTTGAAGCTCTCAACCTGCTCCACTACAGCCCCGTCGATGAGAATGGGGGCGTGCTCGGTCCTCTTCTTTTTCCTGTAGTCCACGATCATCTCCTTTGTCTTGATCACGTTGAGGGAGAGGTTGTTGTCCTGGCACCACACAACCATGTCTCTGACCTCCTCCCTATAGGCTGTCTCGTCGTTGTCGGTGATCAGGCCTACCACTGTTGTGTCATCTGCAAACTTAATGATGGTGTTGGAGTCGTGCCTGGCCATGCAGTCATGGGTGAACAGGGAGTACAGGATGGGACTGAGCATGCACCCCTGAGGGGCCCCCGTGTTGAGGATCAGCTTGGCAGATGTGTTGTTACCTACGCTTACCACCTTGGGGCGGCCCGTCAGGAAGATTTTACTGAGTTACAATTCATATAAGGAAATCAGTCAATTGAAATAAATACATTAGGCCCTAATCTATGGATTTCACATGACTGGGAATACAGATATGCATCTGTTAGTCACAGATACCTTTTTTTTTTTTAAAGTAGGGGCGTGGATCAGAAAACCAGTCAGTATCTGGTGTGACCACCTTTTGACCACATCTCCTTCGCACAGAGTTGATCAGGTTGTTGATTGTGGCCTGTGGAATGTTGCCCCACTCCTTTTCAATGGATATGCGAAGTTGATGGATATTGGCGGGAACTGGAACACGCTGTTATACACGTCGATCCAGAGCATCCCAAACATGCTCCATGGGTGACATATCTGGTATGCAGGCCATGGAAGAACTGGGACATTTTCATGCTGAAACATGAGGTGATGGCGGCGGATGAATGGCACGACAATGGGCTCCAGGATCTCGTCACGGTATCTCTGTGCATTCAAATTGCCATTGATAAAATGCAATTTTGTTCATTGTCTGTAGCTTATGCCTGCCCATACCATAACCCCACTGCCACCATGGGGCACTCTGTTCACAACGTTGACATCAGCAAACTGCTCGCCCACAGGATGCCATACACACTGTCTGCCATCTGCCCGGTACAGTTGAAACCGGGATTCATCCGTGAAGGGCATACTTCTACAGCATGCCAGTGTTCATCGAAGGTGAGCATTTTCCCACTGAAGTCGGTTACGACGACGAACTGCAGTCAGGTCAAGACCCTGGTGAGGACGACGAGCACGCAAATGACCTTCACTGAGATGGTTTCTGACAGTTTGCGCAGAAAGTCTTTGGTTGTGCAAACCCACAGGTTTATCAGCTGTCCAGGTGGCTGATCTCAGACAATCCCACAGGTGAAGAAGCCAGATGTGGGGGTCCTGGGCAGGCGTGGTTACACGTGGTCTGCGGTTGTGAGGCCAGTTGGACGTACTGCCAAATTCTCTAAAGCGACGTTGCAGTCAGCATGCCAATTGCATGCTCCCTCAAAACTTGAGACATCTGTGGCATTGTGTTGTGTGACAAAACGGCCCATTTTAGAGTGGCCTTTTACTGTCCCCATCCCAAGGTGCACCTGTGTAATGATCATGCTGTTTAATCAGCTTCTTGATATGCCACACCTGTCAGGTGAATGGATTATCTTGGCAAAGGAGAAATGCTCACTAACAGGGATGTTAACAAATTTGTGCACAAGATTAGAGAGAAATAAGCTTTTTGTGCATATAGACCATTTCTGGGATCTTTTAATTCATCTCATGAAACATGGGACCAAAAATATGTTGCACATTTCCCTGAGATCAAGTAGCACAAGCACCATCCTGTGGTAGGAGAGATCAGGAGCAATCAGCCTACATAATGTACTTTTAGGACTGACTGAGAGATATGTTCTGTTTACAGAGATCTGTTGTGTAATTATCTTATTGCTCACTTTATAGGCAGCTCAGATCCGTGAGCCAGTGGACCCAACCATAGAGAGGCACATTGAAAAATGTGTATTGGCTGGTCCTAGGAAAGTGAGTGAAGTCAGACACATCTCCATCTTTGTATCTTGAAATGTTCAGAGGAGAGGGTCCCCCCTCCACCAACAAGGAGGAGGTTTTACCCCCTAGATTCTCAAATGACTGCCTCGCCTGGTTCACCAACTACTTCTCAGATAGAGTTCAGTGTGTCAAATCGGAGGGCCTGTTGTCTGGACCTATGGCAGTCTCTATGGGGGTGCCACAGGGTTCAATTCTTGGGCCGAAATTTTCTCCGTGTATATCAATGATGTCGCTCTTGCTGCTGGTGACTCTCAGATCCACCTCTACGCAGACGACACCATTTTGTATACATCTGGCCCTTCATTGGACACTGTGTTAACAAACCTCCAAACGAGCTTCAATGCCATACAACAATCCTTCAGTAGCCTTCAACTGCTCTTAAACACTAGTAAAACTAAATGCATGCTTTTCAATCGAACGCGGCTAGCACCCGCCCACCCGACTAGAATCACCACTCTCGACGGGTCTGACCTAGAGTATGTGGACAACTACAAATATCTAGGTGTCTGGTTAGACTGTAAACTCAACTTCCAGACTCACATAAAGAATCTCCAATCCAAAGTTAAATCTAGAATCGGCTTCCTATTTCGCAACAGAGCCTCCTTCACTCATGCTGCCAAACATGCCCTCGTAAAACTGACTATCCTACCGATCCTTGACTTCGGCGATGTCATTTACAAAATAGCCTCCCAACACTCTACTCAGCAAATTGGATGTAGTCTATCACAGTGCCATCCGTTTTGTCTCCAAAGCCCCATACACTACCCACCACTGTGACCTGTACGCTCTTGTTGGCTGGTCCTCACTACATGTTCGTCGTCAAACCCACTGGCTCCAGGCCATCTATAAATCACTGCTAGGCAAATCCCCGCCTTATCTTAGCTCATTGGTCACCATAGCAGCACCCACCCGTAGTCTGCGCTCCAGCAGGTATATCTCACTGGTCATTCCCAAAGCCAACACCTCCTTTGGCCGCCATTCCTTCCAGTTCTCTGCTGCCAATGACTGGAACGAATTGCAAAAATCTCTGAAGCTGGAGACTCTTATCTCCCTCAATAACTTTAAGCAGCAGTTGTCAGAGCACCTTACCGATCACTGCACCTGTACACAGCCCATCTGAAATTAGCCCGCCCAACTACCTCATCCCTATATTGTTATTTATTTTGCTCTTTTGCACCCCAGTATCTCTATTTGCACATAATCTCTTGCACATCTAGCATTCCAGTGTTAATACTATTGTAATTATTCTGCACTATAGCCTATTTATTGCCTTACCTCCATAACTTGCTACATTTGCACACACTGTATATATATTTTCTGTTGTATTTCTGACTTTATGTTTTTTTTTTACCCCATATGTAACTCTGTGTTGTTTTTATTGCACTACTTTGCTTTATCTTGGCCAGGTCGCAGTTGTAAATGAGAACCTGTTCTCAACTGGCTTACCTGGTTAAATAAAGGTGAAAAAAAATAAAATAAAAAAATAGATAGAGACATCGGGAACATAGTCAGGAAGACAAAGGACAGAACGAGGCGATCAAGCATTGACCACGTCAATCTGCAGGTAACCATAGCTTTTGGTAGATGATTTTATAGGATTGAAACAACATTGGAGAGAATGGACCCTTGCCTTCTGGCTGATCCATATGTGGTGTCAGGATGGGTGAAGAAGAGGTTGGGGACTGTTGAATCTGTGAAATTAACTTGAAGTGGACTTGTGAAGATTTCTTTGGTGTCTTCCATCCAGAGGGAGCAGGCGCTCTGCACCACGTGCCTCGGGACAAGACCTGTGACTTGCTCTGCTCTCTGGAGCAGGGTGCCATTGAAAGGAGTGATAACTGGAGTGATGTTAAGTGTTGAGGAGGACCAACTGAAATGGAAGATTCCCGGTGTCTGTAACGCTCGCCGTTTGGTGCGACACAGACCCGGTGGAGAGTGTGGTGAAACAGAGAAGACACTGTCTGTCCTGCTGAGTTTTGATGCAGAGTGTTTACCTGACAAAGTCAAGTTGGGATGTCACTTATCCCGTGAGAGCTTTTATGCTGAACCCATTACGGTTCTTTAGGTGCCAAGCTTATGGTCATGTTGCAACAGTGTGTAGGAGGGAGATTCCTAGATGTGAGAAGTGTGCAGGAGGGCATGAGACAAAGGAATGTGTAGTATTGGTGGAAAAAGCTGTGTGTGTTAACTGTAAGGGTACCCATGGTCCTGGAGATCAGAAGTGTCCGGTGAGAGAAAGGCAGGTCGAGGTTGCCAGGATCAGAGTAGTTCAGAAGGTGTCGTATGCTGAGGCAGTGAAGAGAGTAGTAGAGGAAGATGTGTCCAGGGCAAGGGATCCTAAGAAGCTCCCTGTGAGTAGGCTGAGGCCAATAGAGAGTGATAGGAATAAAATGTGTTTCATAAAGGTTGGCTTCTTAGCTTTCATAGCCATGGTTATCAACTGTACTGCAGAAATGGAACGCAAATCACAGAAAATATATGTTGTTTTGGCAGCTGCAGAGAAGTACTTGGGTGTACGAGATTTTACTGCAGAGGAGTTACAAGGTGTGTTGAATGATAGTGTCGGATCAGATAGGGCCAAGTAGTGGAATAGTGGTGAGGTTTTAATGGGTGTAGGGTTAGTTGGTAGGGCAATTTTTCCTGTCCCTTTTGTGTCACAAAGTGTAATGAATTCACGCTCTATAACAGTAGGCGGAAAACACAGGGCTAGAGAAGAGAAATTGATTAATAGGGCCTCACACACTCCAGTATAGTAGATGGCGGTGTGTGCACCTTTCAGTTGGTTGCGATCCGCCAATACACATTTATTTTAAAAAGAAGAAGAAGAACGCTGACGTCGACTTCTTCCTGAAAATGGCGAAGTGGACACCAGACATGCAAATGAATTGGTGCAGTTCTACGTTATTGTTAAAAAAACGGACAGTAAGCATGGCTCAGACAAAATCCAGATTGTTGGGGAACAATTTAATTTTATTCTTGATGATCTCGTCCATGATGCACATGGCATTGGCTGACGGAAAGACACTCGTTTTGTTGGACAACCTCAACATCAGAGACACCCATTCAATCTTCTTCCGCAGTCTGGCAGGTGGAAGGAATACGTGTTGTTTTCTCAGTCATTGGCTAGCTAGCTAGCATATTTACAATTATACGTTTCATTTTATCCATAACAAAAATGTGTTTTCATTCATTTGTTTTCGTTCAGTTAGTAAGCTAATGTTAGCATAGTTAGCGCTCGTAACTGTCAACCACTAACGTTAGCTAATCTTAGCTAGCTAGGTTGCCAACGCAACGTTGCATAGTAATAGGTGTCACTCCTGGGGCGTGTGGCATTGCTTTTGGTCAAAAATAGAAGCTAGCTAGCTATCATTGTCAATGTTGAAGGCGAAGAAAGGTCTTATCAGCCCACTTGCACAGCTACGTGCCTGGGGCACATTAGAATGTTAGCTTTTGCATTGTGATTTTACTACTGTTCTTCCTACACATTTATCAGACCCTACTGCGCATGTGCTGTTACATGGTGTATAACCCAAAATGATGCATTACATTTAACATTTTAGTCATTTAGCAGACGCTCTTATCCAGAGCGACTTACAGTTAATGCATAAGTGTGTATTGTTTGTACGCTCTAGAAATGCTGTGTTAACCCATCCTAGGGCATCAAAATAGTGTAAAACAAAGTAACTTAGCCGACTTATTTCCACATCAATTTCCACCAGGCTGATGTAGCTTTATGTTCCTTTTTGCAGATCGTGGCTTTGACCTTTCATTCAAGACTGCAGATGATCCTTCTCTTTCCCTGATCAAATATGGCCAATTTCTCTATGACCACCTCATCATCTTCTCCCCATCTGTGGAAGGTTAGTTACCTAACATTGCAGTTATAATTTTTTACATTTCTTATCTTGCATCAGTCATTTTTGTTACAACAAAGTACTAAATATTTAATGCAACTTTTATCCTTTTAAGACTTTGGTGGCAACATTAATGTTGAGACAATCACTTCCTTCATCGATGGTGGAGGCAATGTCCTGGTTGCTGCAAGCTCTGATATTGGTAAGTGCAAAATAGATTATTCTTACTCGTGTAAAAACCACAGACTTGGTTTCTACTACATTTACATGCAGACCAAACTGACCAAAACGTTGCAAAATAAATGTACACATGTTATTTAATCATTTAATCCAAACTGCTTGCACACATCAACAAACTTCGTTCTATTTTAGTTGCTTGACCCGCTACAAGTCCCGCCTCTCCCATGTATTCATTGGTGTTTAGGAGCATACTAACCCACGTGGGTGATTGAAAGATGAACAAGGTCCACACTCCAGTCCAGTTGGTGGCGGTAATTCACCTTAAAGTTGGTTGCCAACCGCCATATAAAATCCACAGAAGAATAAGAATGAACGAGGAGAGATTAATCAAAGAAAACTAAAAACTAACTAGGTTTCCCCTTTTATCTGTGGATGAATTGTCAGAGTAGAGAACACACGATTTTGTGTGACTCAAAATGGGTCAAAATTCTATAGATCCAGCAGAAAAAGGACCATATGCATTTCAGGTAAAATAACAACCCAATGTTTATCTCCCAGGACAAATTAGCTAGCAACAGCAAGCTAGCTAAATGTCCATGAATGTTTCATGTGTGTTTCGACCTGTCCCCAAATGAATATAGTTGGTATTTTAACCTGCGTGTCATGAGCACGTCTGGTGGGGATAGGCAAAACATTTGTGCGCTGAGTTGGTTTGGTCAGCATGTTACACAATAACTAATGCCATTGTTCTGTAATCTCCTTTGCCCTAGGTGACCCTCTGAGAGAGATAGGCAGTGAATGTGGGATTGAGTTTGATGAGGAGAAGACTGCTGTCATTGATCATCACCATTACGATGTGTCAGACCCCGGTGAGGTAAGCAGAAGAGGAGAGAACATTCTAATGTGAACCTTTTAGCTTTAGTTTTTGCAATTGCTTACAGAGGCATGTGTCAATGCACTTCTGTCTAATAATGTAGAATTCAAATCAAATCAAACTTTATTTGTCACATGCGCCGAATACAACAGGTGTAGACCTTACCGTGAAATGCATGCTTACAAACCCTTAACCAACAATGCAGTTCAAGAAAGAGTTAAGAAAATATTTACCAAATAAACTAAAGTAAAAAGTAACACAATAAAATAACGAGGCTATATAGGTACTGAGTTAATGTGCAGGGGTACAGGTTAGTCGAGGTAATTTCTACATGTAGGTAGGGGTAAAGGGACTATGCATAGATAATAGACAGGGGGGGGGGGTCAAAGTAAATAGTCCGGGTGGCCATTTTATTAATTGTTCAGAAATCTTATGGCTTGGGGGTAGAAGCTGTTAAGGAGCCTTTTGGTCCTAGACTTGGTGCTCCGGTACCGCTTGCCGTGCGGTAGCAGAAAGAACAGTCTAAGACATGGGTGACTGGAGTCTTTGACAATTTTTTGGGCTTTCCTCTGACACCGCCTAGTATATAGGTCCTGGATGGCAGGAAGCTTGGCCCCACTGATGTACTGGGCCGTACGCACTACCTTCTGTAGCGCCTTATGTCAGATGCCGAGCAGTTGCCATACCAGGTGGTGATGCAACTGGTCAGGATGCTCTCGATGGTGCAACTGTATAACTTTTTGAGGATCTGGGGACCCATGCCAAATCTTTTCAGTCTCCTGAGGGGGGAAAAGGTGTTGTCGTGCCCTCTATACAACTTTCATGGTGTGTTTGGACCATGATAATTTGTTGGTGATGTGGACACCAAGGAACTTGAAACTCTCGACCCGCTCCACTACAGCCGTGTCGATGTTAATGGGGCCTGTTCGGCCCGCCTTTTCCTGTAGTCCATGATCAGCTCCTTTGTCTTGCTCACGTTGAGGGAGAGGTTGTTGGCCTGGCACCACACTGCCAGGTCTCTGACCTCCTCCCTATAGGCTGTCTCATCGTTGTCGGTGATCAGGCCTACCACTGTTGTGGCGTCAGCAAACTCAATGATGGTGTTGGAGTCGTGTTTGGCCACGCAGTCGTGGGTAAACAGGGAGCACAGGAGGGGACTAAGCACACACCCCTGAGGGGCCTCAGTGTTGAGGATCAGCATGGCAGATGTGTTGTTGCCTACCCTTACCACCTGGGGGTGGCCCGTCAGGAAGTCCAGGATCCAGTTGCAGAGGGAGGTGTTTAGTCCCAGGGTCCTTAGTTTAGTGATGAGCTTTGTGGGCACTATGGTGTTGAACGCTGAGCTGTAGTCAATGAACAGCATTCCCACATAGGTGTTCCTTTTGTCCAGGTGGGAAAGGGCAGTGTGGAGTGCGATTGAGGTTGCGTCATCTGTGGATCTGTTGGGGCGGTATGCGAATTGGAGTGGGTCTAGGGTATCCGGGATGATGCTGTTGATGTGAGCCATGACCAGCCTTTCAAAGCACTTCATGGCTACCGACGTGAGTGCTACGGGGCGGTAATCATTTAGGCAGGTTACCTTCGCTTCCTTGGGCACAGGGACTATGGTGGTCTGCTTGAAACATGTAGGTATTACAGAATCGGTCAGGGAGAGGTTGAAAATGTCAGTGAAGACACTTGCCAGTTGGTCTGCGCATGCTTTGAGTACACGTCCTGGTAATCCATCTGGCCCTGCGGCTTTGTGAATGTTGACCTGTTTAAAGGTCTTGCTCACATCGGCTACCGAGAGCGTTATCACACAGTTGTCCGGAACAGCTGGTGCTCTCATGCATGCTTCAGTGTTGCTTGCCTCGAAGCGAGCATAAAAGGCATTTAGCTCGTCTGGTAGGCTTGCGTCACTGGGCAGCTCGCGGCTGGGTTTCCCTTTGTAGTCCGTAATAGTTTTCAAGCCCTGCCACATCCGACGAGCGTCGGAGCCGGTGTTGTAGGATTCAATCTTAATCCTGTATTGACGCTTTGCCTGTTTGATGGTTAGTCTGAGGACGTAGCAGGATTTCTTATAAGCGTCTGGATTTGTGTCCCGCTCCTTGAAAGCGGCAGCTCTAGCCTTTAGCTTGGTGCGGATGTTGCCTGTAATCCAAGGCTTTTGGTTCTGATATGTACATACGATCAATGGGGATGATGTCGTCGATGCACTTATTGATGAAGCCGGTGACTGAGGTGGTATACTCCTCAATGCCATTGGATGAATCCCGGAACATATTCCAGTCTGTGCTAGCAAAACAGTCCTGTAGCGTAGCATCTGCGTCATCTGACCACTTCCGTATTGAGCGAGTCACTGGTACTTCCTGCTTTAGTTTTTGCTTGTAAGCAGGAATCAGGAGGATATAATTATGGGCAGATTTGCCAAATGGAGGGCGAGGGAGAACATTGTATGCGTCTCTGTGTGTGGAGTGAAGGTGGTCTAGAGTTTTTTTCCCCTCTGGTTGCACATGTGACATGCTGGTAGAAATGAGGTAAAAGATGAGACATCTCTTGGTAGATAGTGTAGTCTACAGCTTATCAGAAGGTACTCTACCTCAGGTGAGCAATACCTCAAGACTTCTTTAATATTGGACATCGCGAACCAGCTGTTATTGACAAATAGACACACACCCCTGCCCCTCATCTTACCAGACGTAGCTTCTCTGTCCTGCCGATGCATGGAAAACCCAGCCAGCTTTATATTATCCGTGTCGTCATTCAGCCACAACTCAGTGAAACATAAGATATTACCGTTTTTAATGTCCCGTTGGTAGGATATTCTTGATCGTAGATCATCCATTTTGTTTTCCAATGATTGGACGTTGGCCAATAGAACGGATGGTAGTGGAAGTTTACTCTCTCGCCTATAAATTCTCAGAAGGCATCCCGACCTCCGCCCCCTTTTTCTCTGTCTTTTCTTCACGCAAATGACAGGGATTTGGGCCAGTTCGCGAGAAAGCAGTATATCCTTTGCGTCGGACTCGTTAAAGAAAAAATCTTTGTCCAGTGCGAGGTGAGTAATCGCTATTCTGATGTCCAGAAGTTATTTTTGGTCATAAGAGACGGTAGCAGCAACATTATGTACACAATAAGTAAAATAAATAAGTTACAAACAACGCGAAAAAACTAACAAAATAGCACAGTTGGTTAGGAGCCTGTAAAACGGCAGCCATCCCCGCCGGCGCCATTATATCCCAAGTTTAGTCTCAAGAAAAGGCGTGAAATGGGTCTTGAGTGACCATTTTGAATTGCAGAGCACTTGAGGTGGGTGGATGAGGTGAATCATAAGAGGTAAACTTTCTCCCTCATCTTTTCTTTCCCCTCTTCCTTCCCCTAGCATACCCTGATTGTTGCTGATCCAGAAAATCTTCTGAAGGCTCCCACTATTGTCGGGAACCCCAGTGACAAACCCATCCTCTTCAAGGGTGTTGGGTGAGTCTACCATACAGTTGAGAACAAGTATTGTCACTTCTAAACAAGGGAGTTACTACACTGGTATTGGGTTGTTATTCCCCTATGTACAAAGTTATCTATGGTAAAGGATTGTTATCATCTTCTCACCTTCTCCCAGCATGGTGGCAGACCCAGATAACCCCCTGGTCCTGGACATTCTGACTGGCTCCTCCACCTCCTACTCCTACTTCCCTGACCGACCCATCTCTCAGGTAATACTATCACTGTTTCCTTCCTTATCAATCATTCTCCTTTGAAAATGGACTAACTTATGTGTGTGTATAAGGTGTTTATAACTGAAACTTTCTGGACAGTACCCCCATGCTGTTGGAAAGAACACTCTTCTGATCGCTGGGCTCCAGGCCAGGAACAACGCCCGAGTGGTATTCAGTGGCTCACTGCACTTTTTCAGCGATGCCTTCTTCAACGCCGCTGTTCAGAAGGCTACACCTGGCTCCCAGAGGTAACCCTCTCTCTCATTACATTTTACATTACATTTTAGTCATTTAGCAGACGCTCTTATCCAGAGCGACTTACAGGAGCAATTAGGGTTAAGTGCCTTGCTCAAGGGCACATTTACGTCATTTAGCAGACGCTCTTATCCAGAGCGACTCACCAATTGGTGCGTTCACCCTATAGCCAGTGGGATAACCACTTTACAATTTTTTTGGGGGGGGGGTTAGAAGGATTACTTTATCCTATCCCAGGTATTCCTTAAAGAGGTGGGGTTTCAAATGTCTCCGGAAGGTGGTGAGTGACTCCGCTGTCCTGGCGTCGTGAGGGAGCTTGTTCCACCATTGGGGTGCCAGAGCAGCGAACAGTTTTGACTGGGCTGAGCGGGAACTATGCTTCCGCAGAGGAAGAGGAGCCAGCAGGCCAGAGGTGGATGAACGCAATGCCCTCGTTTGGGTGTAGGGACTGATCAGAGCCCGAAGGTACAGAGGTGCCGTTCCCCTCACTGCTCCATAGGCAAGCACCATGGTCTTGTAGCGGATGCGAGCTTCAACTGGAAGCCAGTGGAGTGTGCGGAGGAGGGGGGTGACGTGAGAGAACTTGGGAAGGTTGAACACCAGACGGGCTGCGGCATTCTGGATGAGTTGTAGGGGTTTAATGGCACAGGCAGGGAGGCCAGCCAACAGCAAGTTGCAGTAGTCCAGACGGGAGATGACAAGTGCCTGGATTAGGACCTGTGCCGCTTCCTGTGTAAGGCAGGGTCGTACTCTCCGAATGTTGTAGAGCATGAACCTGCAGGAGCGGGTCACCGCCTTGATGTTGGCGGAGAACGACAGGGTGTTGTCCAGGGTCACGCCTAGGCTCTTCGCACTCTGGGAGGAGGACACAGCGGAGTTGTCAACCGTGATGGCGAGATCATGGAACGGGCAGTCCTTCCCCGGGAGGAAGAGCAGCTCTGTCTTGCCAGGGTTCAGCTTGAGGTGGTGATCCGTCATCCATACTGATATGTCTGCCAGACATGCAGAGATGCGATTCGCCACCTGGTTATCAGAAGGGGGAAAGGAGAAGATTAGTTGTGTATCGTCATAATGCTTTTCATATTCTGCTCTGCAGTTGCCGGCCCTATTTTTATCCTGATTTTCATTGTCCAATAATCACCCTTATATTTTAAGAAACGGAATAACTGTGTTTTAATTCCAGTCTTGAATCTCTTGCAGGTACGCTCAGACAGGGAACATGGAATTGGCCGAGGCTCTGTCCCGTTGGGTGTTCAAGGAAGCTGGTGTACTCCGGGTGGGAGCCGTTACACATCATCCTGTGGGGGAGAGCGCCCCTCCTGCAGCCTACACCATCACAGACCTTGTGGTGAGTCACTATTTAATCCATCAACATCTCGTGGTGAGACATTATTTTATCCATTATGACAGTATTTAGCCATTTTTCTGCTTATTTAACAAAACATTCAAATGTGAAAATATGCCAATTGAGCTCGTGAATGAAAAAAGGCATGAAGATATTTGTTTTTTCTTCACTCCATGAACTGTGGCCATTATGTTGTTTCTGTCCTTTTCCTCCGACACAGGAGTACAGTGTTGTTATTGAGATGCTGTCTAAGGGCAGCTGGGTTCCCTTTGATGGGGAAGACATCCAGTTGGAGTTTGTGAGAATCGACCCCTTCGTCAGGACGTACCTCAAGAAAAATGGTATGAACATTTCAGAGATTACTATTTTTTCATGATTATTTACATTGGTGAAATTGATTGTTGTAAGCCTCATAATAAGGGAAAACAGTTTTCCATGTCAACCAAATCAAAGAGTTGTATTTCCCTTAATAGGAGATAAATACAGCGTCCAGTTCAAGTTGCCTGACGTGTATGGAGTGTTCCAGTTCAAGGTGGACTACAACAGGCTAGGCTACACACACCTGTACTCCTCTACTCAGGTGAGAGAACTGTTTCATGTTTTCATTTGTTTTGAAATGGAAGGCTCTTGAGTATATCAAGGGCTACACCAGCTAATTCATTGTACGTGTCACATTATAAGCAAACACAGTATAGTACTCAATTGCTAATGTGTACATGTCCTCTCCCATAGGTGTCGGTGCGTCCTCTGCAGCACACCCAGTATGAGCGCTTCATCCCCTCAGCGTTCCCTTACTACGCCAGCGTCTTCTCCATGATGGGAGGACTCTTTGTCTTCAGCATAGTCTTCCTTCACATGAAAGAAAAGGAAAAGTCAGACTAGGGAGATAAAACGTTTAGAGAAAAGCTTATTATCTGGCAGAGCCTGCAAGAACAGTTGGTGAGAATTGAATATGTTCCTTCTCTATTGGTTCTGGGGGCATTTAATGAGGGCTTTGCAGGCAAACTAACTCAGCTGTGGCTGAGAATTTTTGTACTTCTAAAAAAAATAAGTCAGGAATTGGATATGGTTGCTTCGAAATTTCAATATCAGATGGAGCACTTGTTTGGAAAACTCCCATGAATTTATGTTTTTTCCCACCCACTTGTATGAGGATAAAAACATCTTGATGTGGTACATGCACTGAATATTTTTGTTTTGTCTGATCAAATAGTGTTTCTATTGGTAAGACTAACATATTTGCTTAGAGTTACAACTCCTTGGAAACTACCAATAAAATGTTGACATTCCACTCTGTAGAAGTCTTATAAGTCTCCTTAATATAATTGAGTAACCTGCAGCTGGATCGATTGTGTATATATAAATCATTGAGCTGGATAGGGTAGAGAAAATGTAGCTACTACTATATATATATTTATTTTTATTTTTTGGGGCGTAAAACTACAGCAAAAAAAATGTTACTCACATTTTTTGAAGGCGGTGATATTAGTGGGTCACGAGCTCGTTGACAGGCATTTAGTGACGTATTAGTCAATTATATAACTTCATTTGGCTAGCTGCTAAATTTAGCCAAAGACAGTACAGTATGAAGATGGGCAGTAACTGCTTCTCGAATAGAGATACCCGATCACGCTAGTAGGCCATGTCATGGCGACGTTGGCTAGCTAAGCTCATGCACAGAAACACGTCTTCGGCTCGAACGTTCGTCTCACGCCGAAATGCGCATGTACAGGCCGTCAACTCAAAGGCACTCCTTCAATATAAAGTACTTTTTGAAAAAAATGAAAACGTGTCAGTTTGTGAATTTCACGAGGTTGGAGTAATAACGTGTTCAATTACATAAGAGATTGGCTCAAATCTAGGTTGTGTCTAGATTTCTAGAAAAGTAACAACTAAGGAATAGTTTTTCACTTCTCTCATTGACTTCTTAAAACTCGGTCTGATCTGCTTGCTCTGTTTCGCAAGCGTTCCCAGAAGTCTCGCGATGTTGCACCTCTGGGTTTAGAAACTGGTTTAGCATTGTCTGGAATTTATTCCTCCGGACTAAACATTGAGTTTATTAAAACTTTGTCATGGTTTCTACATTTTACAACGAAAAGTTGAACTACAACAAAAGTAAGTTCGAACAAGTTGACAATTCGGCTATTAAAGTACTAGCTAACTACACCGAAAGTAAAAGCTACCGGCTACGACGACAGCAGGATATTTATTCTCTACTTGCGCTGACGCTAGCTAACGTGCTAGCCAGTTCAGTTGACTAACGTTAGCCATTCGAAGCGTAGGAGGACTAGTATGCGGGAGGACGACGTTGCTAGTCAACGTTAGTAGCCATGGCCATTGTTGTCTTGTGCTAGTTGTCGTTACATTACCTAGCCAGCTGCTTGTTTGATGTTATGTTGAAAATATATGGATGGCTAGCTTTGGGAACATCAACAGCAGACAACATTGAGACCTCTGGAAATCAGCTGACAGCTGCAGGCAGCCAAGGAGACCAGTGATGGATCAACTGAAAGTCATGGACCGAATATTGGAAAACATTAATTTGTCTGTCAAGAAGGTAAGACTGATATCAAGTCTATGCACATAGCTAGTTAGCTCCTCTTCATGTTAGTAAGATCAGCTAGCTCTAACTTATTTGAAGATAGTAAACATGAGTATTACTCTGCTTGCCATGATAAGTGGGCCTGACTCATGGTAGAAAACAGTTGCTGACTATCTGTAAGGTCCTTGAAGATTGTTTGTTGTTTAGCTAACGTTAAACACATGGATTACGTTTGTATTGTCATGGGTGTTTTGTTTACTAGCTAACGTTATCTAGCTAGCTGACACTGTTGTATTGGCCAATGCTGTCATGTAAACAAACACTATTTCTTGCTACTAACATTCTGAGTCACGGCCAATTCAGCAACCCTCGGGTAGCTAGGTCTATTTGAAGGCCAAAATAACTTTTGTTGCTTATAGCATTTGACTTATGGGTTACTTAATAAATTAGGCTAAACCCTGTTTGAATGTTGACATTCATCCTTTGCATAAACCTGTGCGGTGTTAACGTTCAGTCCCATCCTTCCAAAGTATTTGCACTGTGCAGACTGACAGTGCTTAATAGACCTTGCCTGGTGTGATTTTCTAGTCCTCTCTTACTTATATTCTGTTTGTTCCTGTTCCCAGTCTAATGGTCACATGATCATCATCAGGTGACTGGAATTTATTAAGATTCCACATTCCTGTATATTCAGTCAGTGCTGTTAAACTAGTATTTTCAGAGGTTACGAACAAAAGTCTGATTTAATGCTTTTAAGTCAGTCATAGTAATACCATTTAGTGGATCAGATGTACTGTAGCATTTATCCAATTTCAGGCTCCATGCTTGTCGAGATCTGTCAATATTTGATGTATGAGGTACTCCTCTCAACATCTCATGAAGAAGATATCCCCATATTTCTAGTTCGGCTGTGGGCCTAGTACTCTTATCAGCGCCACATGTTTTGTGCCCCGACTGCAGTTGCAGAGCTACTTTGCTGCCTGTGAGGATGAAACTCCAGCCATCCAGAATCACGACCGGGTCCTACAGCGACTGTGCGAGCACCTTGACCATGCTCTTCTCTATGGGTAAGAAGACTGAGAGCCAAATCTGCACAGTGCTTTAATACATCCTAACTCTGAACTCTCATGTTCTGTACATTGCAGGCTGCAGGATATCTCCTCAGGTTACTGGGTACTGGTCCTACACTTCACCCGCAGGGAAGCGGTCCGGCAGGTCGACGAGCTCCAGCACATAGCAACCAACCTTGGGCGAAGTTAGAACAACATAATTTTTACAGCTTTCTTACGCACACATCAACATACATGGTCAGTCTTGTGGGCAACCTGAGAGACAAACGTTTCACAGCAGTAAACCCTAATACACGCATACATGCCATTTCTGTCAATCAATTCATACACCTCCATTTACTGTGATAAAGTGAATTACAATTGTTAGCCAGTGGTTTGGCAAATGTAAGTTCCTCTTGTGTAACATGCCAGAAATGTAGCACAAGAGAATGTTGTTGTTTGAGGTCAGGATTACAGTAATTACCATTGGGGTTTGCACATGTATGTTTCTCCTTTTACAGAGAGGTTTCTTTGCAGGCCTACTTATTTGCAAGTTCAGGCAGGAAATAAATAATACATGGTACAAGTAAATATGCCCACGTTTGTTTCTATTTCTTTTCTGTGCAGGTCGTGCCTGGCTATACCTAGCACTAAGTGAGAGCTCCTTAGAAAGCTACCTCCGTCTCTTCCAAGAGAACCAAGGATTGCTGCAGAAGTATTACTTAAAGTGAGTGTTCTTACACAAAGAGCGCTATATTATGCATTTAGACTAAAATCGAATCAAATTCTGTCACGTGCCGAATACGACGGGTGTAGACTTTACTATGAAATGCTTGCTTACGAGCGTGTCCCAACTATGCAGAGTTAAAAGATAGTAACACAAGGAATAACAAAAACACAATAATTAATATATATATATATATATATATATATATATATATAAATATACACATACACTACCAGTCAAAAGTGTAGACAAACCTACTCATTCAAGGGTTTTTCTTTATTTTTACTATTTTTTACATTGTAGAATAATAGTGAAGACATCAAAACTATGAAATAACACATATGGAATCATGTAGTAACCAAAAAAGTGTTAAACAAATATATTTTATATTTGAGAATCTTCAAAGTTGCCACCATTTGCCTTGATGACAGCTTTGCACACGCTTGGCATTCTCTCAACCAGCTTCATGAGATAGTCACCTGGAATGCATTTCAATTAACAGGTGTGCATTCTTAAGTTAATTTGTGGAATTTCTTTCCTTCTTAATGCGTTTGAGCCAATCAGTTGTATTGTGACAAGGTAGGGGTGGTATACAGATGATAGCCCTATTTGGTAAAAGACCAAGTCCATATTATGGCAAGAACAGCTCAAATAAGCAAAGAGAAATGACAGTCTATCATTACTTTAAGACATGAAGGTCAGTCAATCCGCAAAGTTTCTTCAAGTGCAGTCGCAAAAACCATCAAGCGCTATGATGGAACTGGCTCTCATGAGGACCGCCACAGGAAAGGAAGACCCAGAGTTACCTCTGCTGCAGAGGATAAGTTCATTAGAGTTACCAGCCTCAGAAATTGCAGCCCAAATAAATGCTTCAGAGTTCAAGTAACAGACACATCTCAACATCAACTGTACAGAGGAGACTGCGTGAATCAGGCCTTCATGGTCGAATTGCTACAAAGAAACCACTACTAAAGGACACCAATAAGAAGAAGAGACTTGCTTGGGCCAAGAAACATGAGCAATGGACATTAGACCGGTGGAAATCTGTCCTTCGGTCTGATGAGTCCAAATTTGAGATTATTGGTTCCAACTGCCATGTCTTTATGAGACTCAGAGTAGGTGAACGGATGATCGCCGCATGTGTGGTTCCCAACGTGAAGCATGGAGGAGGATGTGTGATGGTGTGGGGGTGCTTTGCATGTGACACTATCAGTGATTTATTTAGAATTCAAGGCACACTTAACCAGCATGGCTACCACAGCATTCTGCAGTGATACGCCATCCCATCTGGTTTGCGCTTACATTTCTGCACAAATCGTCTCAGGGAAGCTCATCTGCGTGCTCTGTGTCGCCATCCCATCTGATTTGGGCTTAATGGGACTATCATTTGTTTTTCAACAGGACAATGACCCAACACACCTCCAGGCTGTGTAAGGGCTATTTGATCAAGAAGGAGAGTGATGGAGTGCTGCATCAGATGAACTGGCCTCCACAATCACCCGACCTCAACCCAATTGAGATGGTTTGGGATGAGTTGGACTGCAGAGTGAAGGAAAAGCAGCCAACAAAGTGCTCAGCATATGTGGGAACTCCTTCAAGACTGTTGAAAAAGCATTCCAGGTGAAACTGGTTGAGAGAATGCCAAGAGTGTGCAAAGCTGTCATCAAGGCAAAGGATGGCTACTTTGAAGAATCTAAAATCTCAAATATATTTTTTGGTTCCATATCTGTTATTTCATTGTTTTGATGTCTTCACTACTATTGTACAATGTAGAAAAAAATAAAGAAAAACCCTTGAATGAGTAGGTGTGTCAACTTTTGACTGGTAGTGTGTATATATATGCATATGCATGCATACGTACAGTGCATTCTGAAAGTATTCAGACCCCTTGATTTTTCCTACATTTTGTTAACATTACAGCCTTATTCTAAAATGGATTAAATTAGGTTTTTCCCTTATCAATCTACACAAAATACCCCACAATGACAAAGCAAAAGAAAAAAACTGGAAATATCACATTTACATAAGTATTCAGACCCTTTACTCAGTACTTTGTAGAAACACCTTTGGCACTGATTAGGACTCAGTTGGTAGAGCATGGCGCTTGCAACGCCAGGGTTGTGGGTTTGGTTCCCACGGGGGGCCAGTATGAAAATGTATGCACTCACTAACTGTAAGTCGCTCTGGATAAGAGCGTCTGCTAAATGTAAAATGATTACAGCCTCGAGTCTTCTTGGGTATGACGCTACAAGCTTGGCACACCTGTATTTGGGGAGTTTCTCCCATTCTTCTCTGCAGGTCCTCTGTCAGGTTGGATGGGGAGCGTCGCTGCACAGATCTTTTCAGGTCTCTTCAGAGATATTCGATCGGATTCAAGCCCGGGCTCTGGCTGGGCCACTCAAGGACATTCAGAGACTTGTCCCGAAACCACTCCTGCGTTGTCTTGGCTGTGTGGTTAGGGTCGTTGTCCTGTTGGAAGGTGAACATTTGCCCGAGTCTGAGGTTCTGAGCGCTCTGGAGCCAGGTTTCCTCCAGACGTGACGCTTGGCATTCAGGCCAAAGAGTTCAGTCTTGGTTTCATCAGACCAGAGAATCTTGTTTCTCATGGTCTGAGAGTCCTTTATGTGCCTTTTGGCAAACTCCAAGGCAGGCTATCATGTGCCTTTTACTGAGGAGGGGCTTCTGTCTGGCCACTCTACCATAAAGGCCTGATTGGTTGAGTGCTGCAGAGATGGTTGTCCTTCTGAAAGGTTCTCCCATCTCCACGGAGGAACTCTGGAGCTCTGTGAGAGTGACCATCGTGTTCTTGGTCACCACCCTGACCAAGGCCCTTCTCCCCCAATTGTTCAGTTTGGCCGGGTGTCCAGCTCTAGGAAGTGCCTTGGTGGTTCCAAACTTCTTCCATTTAAGAATGATGGAGGCCACTGTGTTCTTGGGACCTTCAATGCTGCAGACATTTTCTGGTGCCATTCCCCAGATCTGTGCCTCAACACAATCCTGTCTCGGAGCTCTACGGACAATTCCTTCGACCTCATGGCTTGGTTTTTGCTCTGGCATTCACTGTCAACTGTGGGACCTTATATAGACCGGTGTGTGCCTTCCCAAATCATGTCCGATCAATTGAATTTACCACAGGTGGACTCCAATCAAGTTGTAGAAACATCTCAAGGATGATCAATGTAAACAGGATGTACCTGAGGTCAATTTCGAGTCTCCTGGCAAAGGGTCTTAATACTTATGTAAATAAGGTGTTTTCTGTTTTTTTCCAACCTGTTTTCACTTTGTCATAATGGGTTATTGTGTGTAGATTGAGGATTATTTAATAATTCATTTTAGAATAAGGCTGTAACGTAAAAAAGTGGAAAAAGGGAAGGGGTCTGAACTTTCCGAATGCATCATTACATACATATGCAGGGAGTATACAGTACCGGATCGACTGGGATATTCTGTAAGGATGTCAGTGATCACTGCAATTGCTTGTGTTAGAAATACAAAAATGACAAAAGGCATACCCAGTTATATTTTTTTATTACATTTTAGACAGTTTGATGAGCAGGCGTTCTTACATGATCTGTACCATAATATTGACAGAGTAAGTCTGATTCCCGATGTTGACACTGCCTGGGACTATTTTTATATGAGATTTGTGTCCATTTGTGATAAGCATGACCCTGTGAAGAAATGTGGAATCGGTGGAAGGGACAGTCCCTGGTTTTCAGATAACTTGACAGAATTAATTAGAAAGAGAAATGTCTCTTGGGCTCAAGCTAAACATACAAATGCTCCTGTTGACTGGGCCTCCTTCAGAGCGCTAAGAAACAAATGTACAGGATTGATCAGGAAGTCTAAATCAGATTTCTATCTAAATGCAGTCACAGAGAACCTAAACAACCTTACCAAGTTCTGGAAGCTATTCAAATCAGTGTCAGGTCATAATGTATTCTCTGGCCTTCCTGACCATTTAATGATGGATTCTAATGAAGTGAAGGATAAAGCTGATATTGTAGGGGTATTTAACAAGCACTTCATGTCTGCTGGTTCAGTTTTTGATAATGGTGGGGCCCAGGCCTCTAATGTAAGCGCTGTTACAGTAAACTATGATATAGGCCCTCATGTGAACCATTTTAACTTTGAGCCTGTTTCTTATGCTAAGGTCTATAAAGCACTAAAGGCAATAGACACTAAAAGGTCTGCAGGCCCAGACAACCTGGATCCCTACCTCTTTTAAAGACAGCAGCTGGTATTAATACTGAACTTGTAGCTCACATTTTCAACTTGAGTCTCTTGACCAATTCCATACCCAGCATATGGAAATCGGCTTATGTCCTCCCACTGCTAAAGGGTGGAGATCCCTCAGATGCTAATAACTGTCGTCCGATCTCCAAACTCCCTATCCTGGCCAAAGTCTATGAATCCCTAGTGAACTCACAGTAAAAAACGTCTTAATTGAAAATAGCATACTGAGCGGGGTTCAGTCTGGCGTTAGATCGGGGCACCACAACTGCAGCTATCGGGCCTTCCCATTCTAGAGAAACAGGCGCCTCACAGGTCCTCAACTGGCAGGTCCTCAATAGTACCCGCAAAACACCAGTCTCAACGTCAACAGTGAAGAGGCGACTCCGGGATGCTGACCTTCTAGGCAGAGTTGCAAAGAAAAAACCATATCTCAGACTGGCCAATAAAAAGAAAAGATTGAGATGGGCAGTCTGAGATATGGCTTTTTCTTTGCAACTCTGCCTAGAAGGTCAGCATCCCGGAGTCGCCTCTTCACTGTTGACGTTGAGACTGGTGTTTTGCGGGTACTATTGAGGACCTGCCAGTTGAGGACCTGTGAGGCGCCTGTTTCTCAAACTAGACACTAATGTATTTGTCCTCTTGCTCAGTTGTGCACCGGGGCCTCCCACTCCTCTTTCTATTTTGGTTAGAGCCAGTTTGCGCTGTTCTGTGAAGGGAGTAGTACACAGCGTTGTATGAGATCTTCAGTTTCTTTGCAATTTCTCACATGGAATAGTCTAATTTCTCAGAACAAGAATAGACTGACGAGTTTCAGAAGAAAAGTATTTGTTTCTGGCCATTTTGAGCCTGTAATCGAACCCACAATTGCTGATGCTCCAGATACACAACTAGTCTCAAGAAGGCCAGTTTGATTGCTTCTTTAATCAGCACAACAGTTTTCAGCTGTGCTAACATAATTGCAAAAGGGTTTTCTAATGATCAATTAGCCTTTTAAAATGGTAAACTTGGATTAGCAAACACAACGTGCCATTGGAACACAGGACTGATGGTTGCTGATAATGGGCCTATGTAGATATTCCATAAAAAACCTGCCGTTTCCAGCTACAATAGCCATTTACAACATGAACAATGTCTACACTGTATTTCTGATCAATTTGATGTTATTTTAATGGACAAAAAAATTGCTTTTCTTTCAAAAAGAAGGACATTTTTAAATGACCCCAAACTTTTCAACGGTAGTGTACATAAAAGCAGGGTGACTAGGCGTAAGGATAGTTCATAATAAGAGTAAGATAAAGAACAGAGTAGCAGCAGCATATGATGAGTGTGAAAGTGTGTATGACTAATGTGTGTAACTAGTCCCCTTATTGTAAATAAACCATCTGCTTTGAATCTCTCCCCCAGAAATGCATTGGTTTGCAGCCATGATCACCTCACACTCTTCCTCACGTTGGTTTCGGGACTGGAGTTCATTCGCTTTGATCTGGAGTTGGTCAGTATTAGACAGTGCTTTGAAACAATTAGAACTCATATTAAATCACTTCATTTACAAAAGTCCAACAAGAAAATGTAAGAAGAAAAAAAAAAAAAGTACCATCATGCTCAACCAAAGAATCTAAACATAGTCTTTGGATTGTGTGTAAAACCAATAAATAATTCAGTCAAAAAGAGATATGTAATGTAACATCAACAACACTCTCAAACCCCCATTGTTTTCTGGGTGTTAGGATGTCCCCTACTTGGATGTGGCACCCTACATGCCGGAGTACTACAAGCCCCAGAATCTGCTGGACTTTGAGGAGTGCCTCCCCAGCTCGGACAGCCTTTCTCTGCACTCCTTCACCTCCCTCACCTCTACCAACCTGGAGTGGGACGACAGCGCCATCGCCCCGTCCAGCGAAGGTCAGAGGCTCCACCTCTTCTCTGTCTTATGCTGTGTCACTAGCTTAATTCATAGGCTGGTTTGTCAAGTAATGGAGTATTGATGCTAAAGTTGGATCGATTAGGAAGACACTTGTGGCTCATGGGTTATTATGTAGAAATAATAGCCTAGCACTCACGTTGAAGTGCTGTTCATTGAGCACATAGCACAGTATATGAGCTCCATTGTGTGAATGCTTTATCTCCTGTCACTTTCCATAAACCATTGAGCCACATTGAGCCCCCATTTATGTGTAGTTTTCTGTCTGCCTTGCCATACCAGTAACTGTTCTCATCATGTGTATCATATTTCTCTCATATGTCACATTTTCTATGTATGTCTCGGGCCTTCCCGTTCTAACGTTGAGTCTTATCCCTCCTTTTTTAGATTATGATTTCGGTGACATCTTCCCCGTGTTGCAGCCAACTGCAGACTGGGAAGGTGGGACATGGTACCCCTCCCCTATCCTCCCTTCCTCCGTTCTCAACTCTTCTCCACCCTCCCTCCCCGCTCACAGCATCATGCATGTCCTCCATCCCACAGTGTGTGCTGAATGCATGCTGGTCCTCTGTGTGTAGTCAGTGGTTTAATTTGAGTATCTTAATTGCAATATCAATACTGATAAAGAACAAGCAGCTAGCTAATGCTAAGAGGGAAATGGTAGAGAAGGCAATCAAAGGGCTTCTGATTTATGCACTTTAGTTTATTGGGAAGTAGGCTAGATGGATTTGTAATAATATTAAAATCCACTGTCGCTGTGCTTTTACACTTATCTTTTAAGACACTACTGAATCAAACGTCAATTGTCCTCAATATTACATGTGTAGAGTATTAAGGGATAAATTGCATAATGATGCTTAGTTGTAAAAAATATTTAATTTTAGGGGCATTTTTGGCTCACTATGCAAGAAAATATGATGTGGCACTATTGCCAACATTTCATGCGATTTTATTGACAGGTAAGTTACAGTGGGGGAAAAAAGTATTTAGTCAGTCACCAATTGTGCAAGTTCTCCCACTTAAAAAGATGAGAGGCCTATAATTTTCATCATAGGTACACGTCAACTATGACAGACAAAATGAGAAAAAAAATCCAGAAAATCACATTGTAGGATTTTTTTATGAATTGATTTGCAAATTATGGTGGAAAATAAGTATTTTGTCAATAACAAAAGTTTCTCAATACTTTGTTATATACCCTTTGTTGGCAATGACACAGGTCAAACATTTTCTGTAAGTCTTCACAAGGTTTTCACACACTTTTGCTGGTATTTTGGCCCATTCCTCCATGCAGATCTCCTCTAGAGCAGTGATGTTTTGGGGCTGTCGCTGGGCAACACAGACTTTCAATTTTCTATGGGGTTGAGATCTGGAGACTGGCTAGGCCACTCCAGGACCTTAAAATGCTTCTTACGAAGCCACTCCTTCGTTGCCCGGGCAGTGTGTTTGGGATCATTGTCATGCTGAAAGACCCAGCCACGTTTCATCTTCAATGCCCTTGCTGATGGAAGGAGGTTTTCACTCAAAATCTCACGATACATGGCCCCATTCATTCTTTCCTTTACACGGATCAGTCGTCCTGGTCCCTTTGCAGAAAAACAGCCACAAAGCATGATGTTTCCACCCCCATGCTTCACAGTAGGTATGGTGTTCTTTGGATGCAACTCAGCATTCTTTGTCCTCCAAACACGACGAGTTGAGTTTTTACCAAAAAGTTCTATTTTGGTTTCATCTGACCATATGACATTCTCCCAATCCTCTTCTGGATCATCCAAATGCACTCTAGCAAACTTCAGATGGGCCTGGACATGTACTGGCTTAAGCAGGGGGACACGTCTGGCACTGCAGGATTTGAGTCCCTGGCGGCGTAGTGTGTTACTGATGGTAGGCTTTGTTACTTTGGTCCCAGCTCTCTGCAGGTCATTCACTAGGTCCCCCCGTGTGGTTCTGGGATTTTTGCTCACCGTTCTTTTGATCATTTTGACCCCACGGGGTGAGATCTTGCGTGGAGCCCCAGATCGAGGGAGATTATCAGTGGTCTTGTATGTCTTCCATTTCCTAATCATTGCTCCCACAGTTGATTTCTTCAAACCAAGCTGCTTACCTATTGCAGATTCAGTCTTCCCAGCCTGGTGCAGGTCTACAATTTGGTTTCTGGTGTCCTTTGACAGCTCTTTGGTCTTGGCCATAGTGGAGTTTGGAGTGTGACTGTTTGAGGTTGTGGACAGGTGTCTTTTATACTGATAACAAGTTCAAACAGGTGCCATTAATACAGGTAACGAGTGGAGGACAGAGGAGCCTCTTAAAGAAGAAGTTACAGGTCTGTGAGAGCCAGAAATCTTGCTTGTTTGTAGGTGACCAAATACTTATTTTCCACCATAATTTGCAAATAAATTCATTAAAAATACTACAATGTGATTTTATGGATTTATTTTCCTCATTTTGTCTGTCATAGTTGTCGTGTACCTATGATGAAAATTACAGGCCTCTCTCATCTTTTTAAGTGGGAGAACTTGCACAATTGGTGGCTGACTAAATACTTTTTTTCCCCACTGTATTTTCTAAGCAGACATTTCTATGCACTGGTGAATTGTTAATGTTGTCAATCATGTTTTAATGAACCACGCAACATGTTTCTCTTTGGAGACATGATCCTAAAGCTCACGCAGCATTGATATGGAATAAAACTAGAGAACTGCAATGCCTGATAGTTAGTACTCACTCTGTTTGGTGTCTGCTGGCATATATGTGGAATGTCCTCTATTTCTCTTTGGAACCATTGGATTGCATGGCTTTGTTCAAGGTTCAACCCTGCCTTTATAGCTTCTGTCACCAACTGTAGCATGTACTGTAGCACTGTCACTGCATTCATTTGACATAGTTTAATGTACTGCTGATATGTCGTGTTGATAGACTTCAACAACACCAATAAAGCACCTGTTCGAACAGATAATAATAACAAATCCTTAAACAATTTGACAGACTGTGTGCCCTATATGAACGTGTAAGCTATGGTAGGAAGGTTGAACCAAGGCGTATGTCACTCAACAAGCTTGTCTTTTTTTCTGCCTGCCTGTCTTTGTCCTGTGCATCCTGTGGGAAATGTGTGGTTAGCCCTCACCCCTGTCCCTGTCAAAGGACCACCAGTATCCATTCTCATTTATTTGGACACAGTGTGTACAGTATTTGTGGCATACTGTATGTGTGATTGTTCTGCTATTTTGATTACCGTGTGTGTTTCTCCCGTCCTGCCACAGAGGGTGATCTCACCGACCCGGTCATCTGTCCTCGCTCCAGCGCCTCAGACTCTCAGACGGTCTTCAACGACTCTGTGATTCTCCGGGCGGCCGCTGCCGTCATCCCAGTGAGGGGAACGCCCCCGCCCCGCTGCCCCACCTTCAGACTCAACCCCTTCAACGAGGACTCGGACACCAACACCTCGGCCGACATCACGCCCGTCCACACGGCCAGCCGCCACCACCACGACACCACCACCACCGTGGATGACACGGAGAGCACCAGCAACGAGCTGGAGGTTATCAGGTACAGCACAGCACACACTCCTAACATTAGCCTCTGGCTAAAACTCCATGATATTTAGCCTAGTTAGCTGGTTAGCCACTAACTGGTTATCAGGTTTAGGTTGCCCTCACTTTTTCTCAGCCTCAACACACAGAGCTTGGAGTTCCAACTTAATTTTAGCTCACAGACATCGAGGTTATCAGATCAAGCGAAGCCCTCATTTATTGGCACACTCATACAGGTCAACATGTCCCCTAGCTTTTTGGCTTGTGAAATGTTATGAATTTATACAATGGACCTAGGAGGAGTACACATGGACTAACCATTATGACATGCTGCTTTCCATTCCACCAGGATGGCCAGACGAAGGAAGCCAGCCAAGAAGCGCCGTGTTGTGAAGGGCTCCAGTGACTCCACGGTGTGCGGTGAACAGAACACAGTGGCCTCCGAGCAAGCGGAGGTAGACGACGGAACCCAGGCTGGGTGTGAGGGAGAGGGGCTGGATGGAGACTCCTGGAGCCCCTCTGTGGGGCCGCCGCAGGGCTCAGGGGCCGAGACGGTGAAGAGAAGGAGCAGGAGAGGGACGGGTGAGAAGGAAGGCCAGGAGGAGGATGAGTCAGAGGGTCTCCTGCGGCTGCCGGAGATGATGGACACCTCCATGGACAGTGTGGGCCAGCCCCTACATGACGTTATGGACCTGCTCAACGGAGCTCTGGACGGGGGGGGGGCCTGGTGGCAACCAGACGAAGAGGAAGAAGAGGGGGAGAAGACCCATCAGAGATCCCTCCCAAGAAGGTCCTCCTCCGCCAGTCCTGAGGCCAACTCCTATCCCCCGGGGCAGAAGCCTTTTCGAGGGGATTCGATTGTTGAGCCGCCTGATCCGGAAGCCGGGCCCCCCCCCCTGCTGCGCCCTGCTCTGGCCTCGAGCCCAAACTTCCTGCAGGCCCCTCCGGCCCCTGCAGACTTTTACTGCTTTATCCCCAACAGTCCAGATGCTGGTACCACTCGTGGTGGCCACCTTGACGCTGCAGGGCATGGCCAGCCGCAGGCTCTTCCTGGTGGCCATGAAGATGAGGGAGAGGCAGAGACACCACCAGGACAGGACCCCTTCTTAGAGGAGGAAGAGGAGGCAGTGGTGGTCGAGAATGGATTGGCTGCTGGAGAAACTGAAGAGGAGGCGGAAGAGGACAGGCTCAGTCCAAAAGAAAACTGCCATTCTGCAGAATTCAAGTGAGTTGGGTGAAACCTGAATGAAACCTTTTTAATACTTAAGAGTCTAAGCTGGGGGGGTGGGGGTGGGGGGGGGGGGGGGGGGGGTCTACTAAGCTAACATATAGAATTGTTTTAAGATGGTCATACCAAGGATAATTGAGCTATTTCATTTAGAATTGTAGGACCTATTTAGGTATCAAAAAAATATATACTTTTTTTATTTGAAACATTGAATTTGGTCTTAGTGTTATTAGCCCATAGAAACACATTGAATATCAGATTAATACATGGAAAAACAGATGGTCTGTCCTATATCTGAGCGATTATACGAAAAATCTAGATTATTATATATAATTTTTTACCAATATTTAACAAATGTTTTGGGGCACTAAACTACTTCCATAATACACTGAGTGAACAAAACATTAGGAACACCTGCTCTTGACCAGGGGAATCCATGTGAAAGCTATGATCCCTTATTGATGTCACTTGTTAAATCCACTTCAATCAGTGTAGATGAAGGGGAGGAGACAGGTTAAAGAAGAGTTTTTAAGACTTGAGACATGGACTGTGTATGTTTCAAGTACAGTGAAATGCCTTTCTTGCGAACTCAAAACCCAACAATGCAATAATCAATAATAATGTAATACTAGTAAAACACACGAGAAATAAGAAGGAATATGAAGAACACAATAACTAAGTAAGCATACTATATACATGGTCAGATCCAATACCATATTTACAAGGTGTAGGGATACTGGAGTGATGGAGGGTAGATACAGTATGGATAGGGGTAAGGTGACTAGGCAACAGGATATAAGATAAACAGAGTAGCAGCAGCTTGTATGTGAGTGGGTGTGTGTGTGTATAATTGTATGTGCATATTATGTGTTAGTGAGCAGATAATGGAGTGAGTGTGTAGGGCCTGTGAGTGTGCGTATAGACAGTGTAAAAATAAAAGGTCAATAAAGATACAAGGTTAACTCAGTCCGTGTAGCTATTTTGTTAGCTATTTATCAGTCTTATTGCTTGGGGATAGAAGCTTTTCAAGAGCCTGTTGGTGTCAGACTTGATGAACCGGTACCGCTTGCCGTGCGGAAGCAGAGAGAATAGTCAATGGCTTGGGTGGTTGGAGTCTTTAACGATTTTCCAGGCCTTCCTTCCACACCGCCTGATATACAGTGGGGGAAAAAAGTATTTAGTCAGCCACCAATTGTGCAAGTTCTCCCACTTAAAAAGATGAGAGAGGCCTGTAATTTTCATCATAGGTACACGTCAACTATGACAGACAAATTGAGAAAAAAAATCCAGATAATTACATTGTAGGATTTTTTATGAATTTATTTGCAAATTATGGTGGAAAATAATTATTTGGTCACCTCCAAACAAGCAAGATTTCTGGCTCTCACAGACCTGTAACTTCTTCTTTAAGAGGCTCCTCTGTCCTCCACTCGTTACCTGTATTAATGGCACCTGTTTGAACTTGTTATCAGTATAAAAGACACCTGTCCACAACCTCAAACAGTCACACTCCAAACTCCACTATGGCCAAGACCAAAGAGCTGTCAAAGGACACCAGAAACAAAATTGTAGACCTGCACCAGGCTGGGAAGACTGAATCTGCAATAGGTAAGCAGCTTGGTTTGAAGAAATCAACTGTGGGAGCAATGATTAGGAAATGGAAGACATACAAGACCACTGATAATCTCCTTCGATCTGGGGCTCCACGCAAGATCTCACCCCGTGGGGTCAAAATGATCACAAGAACGGTGAGCAAAAATCCCAGAACCACACGGGGGGACCTAGTGAATGACCTGCAGAGAGCTGGGACCAAAGTAACAAAGCCTACCATCAGTAACACACTACGCCGCCAGGGACTCAAATCCTGCAGTGCAAGACGTGTTAAGCCAGTACATGTCCAGGCCCGTCTGAAGTTTGCTAGAGTGCATTTGGATGATCCAGAAGAGGATTGGGAGAATGTCATATGGTCAGATGAAACCAAAATATAGCTTTTTGGTAAAAACTCAACTCGTCGTGTTTGGAGGACAAAGAATGCTGAGTTGCATCCAAAGAACACCATACCTACTGTGAAGCATGGGGGTGGAAACATCATGCTTTGGGGCTGTTTTTCTGCAAAGGGACCAGGACGACTGATCCGTGTAAAGGAAAGAATGAATGGGGCCATGTATCGTGAGATTTTGAGTGAAAACCTCCTTCCATCAGCAAGGGCATTGAAGATGAAACGTGGCTGGGTCTTTCAGCATGACAATGATCCCAAACACACCGCCCGGGCAACGAAGGAGTGGCTTCGTAAGAAGCATTTCAAGGTCCTGGAGTGGCCTAGCCAGTCTCCAGATCTCAACCCCATAGAAAATCTTTGGAGGGAGTTGAAAGTCTGTGTTGCCCAGCGACAGCCCCAAAACATCACTGCTCTAGAGGAGATCTGCATGGAGGAATGGGCCAAAATACCAGCAACAGTGTGTGAAAACCTTGTGAAGACTTACAGAAAACGTTTGACCTGTGTCGTTGCCAACAAAGGGTATATAACAAAGTATTGAGAAACTTTTGTTATTGACCAAATACTTATTTTCCACCATAATTTGCAAATAAATTCATTAAAAATCCTACAATGTGATTTTCTGGATTTTTTTTCCTCATTTTGTCTGTCATAGTTGACGTGTACCTATGATGAAAATTACAGGCCTCTCTCATCTTTTTAAGTGGGAGAACTTGCACAATTGGTGGCTGACTAAATAATTTGTTTCCCCACTGTACGTGTTAGTGAGAGTCTCACCTTTCCATAGAGGGGTCATATTAGTGTGTATCCCAAACTGCCCATGCAAAAAGCCCATGCAAAAAAAATAAAGACTGATTTTGATGGTGATTTTTGTTATTATGCTAATTCGATTTCCTCATGGGGCGCGGAAATCGATTCTGGCGGGTTTTAAAGGCACAATGTCTTGGAAATATGTTTTTCTTGAATGTCCGCCTGATTTCAGTTTGTAACATAACAAGCAGTGTAGAGAATCATTGTACCATCTTTTTCAATAACAAAAAATATATCTTGGCCTATATCTAGTTTAGCTGTATGAGTTTTATGTACAAAACTGAATGTAAAAATAAATAATACATTAAACTTACTGAAGGGAAGCAATCAGAATTACAGATCTATAACTAGCAGTCGGATCGTACACAATTACATAATGGACTTTTAAGCCTTTTTTGGGGCAATTGTGATTCTGTGTGGCTTTTTCAGGGTGGACAACAATCACCTGCTACTGCTCATGATCCACGTCTTCAGAGAGACTGAGGAGCAGCTCTTCAAGGTAAGCCTAGTATATTATATTGGGTGGAGGGGGGTTGTAAGGGCATATATTGCGATACAAAACATGAGATAATAACAAACATTTAAGGATATGTTGTTTTTTACAACCAAATCTATATTTTTGATGTAAATGGCATGTTATATACAACTTTTTTGTGATTTCACGTTTTTGAGAAACTTACCCCAAACAGCAAATCCTTCGTCATCCTCGTTGTGTAGAAAAAACATGAACAAAGGCTCCAAAACCCCCCCAAATATATCATTTTAGAAATGGCAACGCTCTCAGTATAGTGATGCAGGTCTTTAGATGTTGTACACATTACATTGTGTCATTCCAAACTTTATCCGCAACGTTATATTCCATTTGGTTGCGACTCGAGAGATACCTCTCCGTCCATTCTACAGGTAACTGCCAAAATAAAGGAAAAACTTGAGTAAATGAGGGATAAAATGTATATTGAAGCATGGGGTACTCCCACACAGGAACGCCCTATTAAGACACTGTGTTTCCTTTTTTTTGGGCAGTTACCTGTAGCAGCAGGCTACACGGAGAATCAAACAGCTGGATAGGGGAAACGGCTAGAGTCGCGCAAAAGGGAATATAACATTGCGGATAAAGTTCTGAATTAAACAATTTCATGTGTACAACATCTAAAGACCTGCATCACTATACTGAGAGCTTTGCCGTTTCTAAAAGGACGTACAGTGCATTCGGAAAGTATTCAGACCCCTTGACTTTTTCCACATTTTGTTACGTTACAGCCTTATTCTAAAATTGATTAAATTTGTTTCCCTAATCAATCTACACACAATACCCCATAATGAGAAAGCAAAAACAGGTTTTTAGAAAAAAATAAATGTAAATATCACATTTACATAAGTATTCAGACCCTTTACTCAGTACTTTGTTGAAGCACCTTTGGCAGGGATTACAGCATTGTGTCTTCTTGGGTATGACGCTACAAGCTTGACACACCTGTATTTGGGGAGTTTCTTCCATTCTTCTCTGCAGATCCTCTCAAGCTCTGTCAGGTTAGGTGCGGAGCGGTTCTGCACAGCTATGTTCAGGTCTCTCCAGAGATGTTTGATAGGGTTCAATTCCGGGCTCTGGCTGGGCCACTCAAGGACATTGAGGCTTGTCCCGAAGCCACTCCTGCGTTGTCTTGGCTGTGTGCTTAGGGTTGTTGTCCTGTTGGAAGGTCAACCTTCGCCCCAGTCTGAGGTCCTGAGCACTCTGAAGCAGGTTTTCATCAAGGATCTCTCTGTACTTTTCTCCGTTAATCTTTCCCTCGATCCTGACTAGTCTCCCAGTCCCTGCCGCTGAAAAACATCCCCACAGCATGATGCTCCCACCACCATGCTTCACCGTAGGGATGGTGCCAGGTTTCCTCCAGACGTGACGCTCTGCATTCAGGCCAGAGTTCAATCTTGGTTTCATCAGACCAGAGAATCTTGTTTCTCATGGTCTGAGAGTCCTTTGGGTGCCTTTTGGCAAACTCTGTGCGGGCTGACGTGCCTTTTACTGAGGAGTGGCTTCCGTCTGGCCACTCTACCATAAAGGCCTTATTGGTGGAGTGCTGCAGAGATGGTTGTCCTTCTGGAAGGTTCTCCCATCTCCACAGGGGTACTCTGGAGCGCTGTCAAAGTGACCATTGGGTTTTTGGTCACCTCGCTGACCAAGGCCCTTCTCCCCCAATTGCTCAGTTTGGCCGGGCGGCCAGCTCTAGGAGAGTCTTTGTGGTTCCAAACTTCTTCCATTTTTAAGAATGATGTAGGCCGCTGTGTTCTTGGGGACCTTCAATGCTGCGTACATTTTTTGGAGACCCTTCCCCAGATCTGTGCCTTGACACAATCCTGTCTCGGAGCTCTACGGACAATTCCTTCGACGTCATGGCTTGGTTTTTGCTCTGACATACACTGTCAACTGTAGGAACTTTATATAGACAGGTGTGCCTTTCCAAATCATGTCTAATTAATTGAATTTACCACGTGGACTCCAATCAAGTTGTAGAAACATCTCAAGGATGATCAATGGAAACAGGATGCACCTGAGCTCAATTTCGTGTCTCAGAGTAAAGGGTCTGAATACTTATAAAAACAAGGTATTTCTGTTTTAGAATTTTAAATGTGCAACATTTTCTAAAAAGCTGTTTTCACTTTGTCATTATGGGGTGTTGTGTGTAGATTGATGAGGAAAACATTTTATTTAATCCATTTTTGAATAAGGCTGTAATGTAACAAAGTGGAAAAAGGGAAGGGGTCTGAATACTTTCCGAATGCACTGTATTTGTTTTTTTTTTAGTGCCTTTGTTCATGATTCTTCAGGGCCTCCATACTACAGGATGAGGAAGTTATTTGCTGTTTGGGGAAAGTTTCTCAAACGTGAAATCACAAAAAAGGTGTCTGGACCCTTCCAAAACATGCCATTTACATCAAAAATAGAGATTTGGTTGTAAAAAAAGAGTCTCCTTTAATAGACAAGGACAGAACTACGTACATTTAAAATGTCACACACAGCCTACATATCAGTACATACACACAATATCTAGGTCAAATAGGGGAGAGGCATTGTGAGGTGTTGCTTTATCTGTTTTTTTAAACCAGGTTTGTTGTTCACTTCAGGAATCTCTGATGGGAGTTCCATGCAATCTTCATGGCTATATAATAATACTGTACATTTTCTTGAGTTTGTTATGGATTTGGGGACTGTGAAAAGACCCCTGGTGGCATGTCTGTTGGGGTAAGTGTGTGTGTTAGTGCTGTGTGTAAATTGACTATGCAAACAATTTGGAATTTCCAACACATTGTTTCTTATAATAACAAGAATTGATGCAATCAGTTTCTCCTCTACTTTTAGCCAAGAGAGACTGGCATGCTTAGTATTGATTAGGGCTGACCCCATTTAGTCGACTGTTCGATTGTTTGGTCGATAGGCTGTTGGTTAGTCGAGCCGTCACAAATTGATTTAACTGGTCCATAATACACCTGTCTGATTCACACCTGTCTCAGCGGACTAATCCATTGCGGAGGCCACAGGGTTGGCATAGTCATCACTCTAAGACATGTGCTACTGAAATTGTAATTGGTTATATTATGTAAGAATAATGGTGCAACACTAATAAATGTAATATTATTTTATAACAAACATGCTTTCTCCTGCGATGGATAGCGGTTGCTGTTCGCGGTTCTGAAACATAATCTAGAGTATGCCATTGAATTGGTGCCTTTCCCTGTATGTTGCTATGTGCATAATAGCGAACTTAACAAGCATATTGGTGATGAGAACAATGCGGCGGAGGCAGCAGCGGAGTGAGGAGACGAGGAAACAGCCCTTGCCTTAATTGTCTAAGAACATTGAGGAGAGAGTAAACCCCAACTTAATTAGGTCTATAAGTAATAGTCTAACTGTTAAGCGTGCCTGGCTTTATAAATCATCCATATACACTACCGGTCAAAACCTTTAGAACACCTACTCATTCAAGGGTTTAAGGGCTATTTTACCAAGAAGGAGAGTGATGGAGTGCTGCATCAGATGACCTGGCCTCCACAATCCCCCGACCTCAACCAAATTGAGATGGTTTGGGATGAGTTGGACGGCAGAGTGAAGGAAAAGGAGCCAACAAGTGCTCGGCATATGTGGGAACTCCTTCAAGACTGTTGGAAAAGCATTCCAGGTGTAGCTGGTTGAGAGAATGCCAAGAGTGTGCAAAGCTGTCATCAAGGCAAAGGGTGGCTATTTGAAGAATATAAAATGGTTACTACATGATTCCATATGTGTTATTTCATCGTTTTGATGTCTTCACTATTATTCTACAATGTAGAACATTTTTAAAATAAAGAAAAGCCCTTGAATGAGTAAGTGTTCTAAAACTTTTGGCCGGTAGTGTACAGTCTAGTCTAGTCTACAGAAATAAGACCGATCCTGCTTCTGTTGCGAGTTTGAGTGTTTAATAGCCTACTGATTTCGTGAGCATACATGTTTCACGTAAAGAGAGCTAGGGTTGAGGGAATAGGTAATGTTTTTCCCCAAAGATTTTGGTATTTCGGAAACAGAATGTTTCAGTCAGAAAAACAAGTAAGAAACAAAATGGCTGTAATTACGTTGCAGCTTCAGCGCGGAAAGTGCGACAAATACTTGCATATAGTTGATTTTATTCAAACACATAGGGTGTGTCTATATATGCAGAAGTACACGTTAAAAAATGTCCACTAATCGATTGGTCGAAAAAACGGACGACTCTTGGTCGACCAATATTTTTTTGGGTCTGGGACAGCCCTAGTATTGATATAAGCCCTCTGATTACATTGAAGAGCCAGACGTGCCGCTCTGTTCTGGGCAAACTTCAGTTTTTCTAGGTCCTTTTCAGCACCTGACCATATGACTGGGCAATAATCAAGTTGTTTAACTGCCAGATTATTCATTATCAGATTCAGCTGAGGTCTAGAACTTAGGGAATAATTTGTACCAAATACAATGCTCTTAGTTTTAGAGATGTTCAGAACTAGTTTATTACTAGCCACCCATTCTAAAACTGACTGCAACTCTCTGTTTAGGGTTGCAGTGATTTCACTAGCTGTGGTTGCTGACGCATATAGGGTTGAATCATCAGCATACATAGACACACAGGCTTTGTTTTAATGCCAGTGTCAGGTCAGTGGTAAAAATACAAAAGAGTAGAGGGCCAAGAGAGCTGCCCTGCGGTACACCGCACTTTACATTTTTAACATTAGAGAAGCTTCCATTAAAGAAAACCCCCTGTTCTATTAGATAGATGGCTCTAGATCTACGATATGGCAGAGGTTGAAAAGCCATAACACAAGTTTTTTTTAACAACAGGTTATGGTCAATAATATCAAAGGCTGCTCTGAAATCTAACAGTACAGCTCCCACAATTTTCTTATTATTATTTCAACCAATCATAAGTCATTTGTGTCAGTGCAGTACATGTTGAGTGCCCATCTCTATAAGCATGTTAAAAGTCTGTTGTTAATTTGTTTACA